AGTTCCTGCATTTTTCATTATATAACCGATTTGGAGCTAGCACCTTCCCTTATATATGTACATAGTGTGTTTCAAACTAAACAGAAAATTTGTGTTCCCAACAAGCTAGGTGAAGAATGGCATTCACACACACTTATCTCTCAGAACTGAGCATGTAGTGAGACGTTCATTCACCTAGCACAAAGGGAACGGGTTGCAGGTGAAACTCTTACTCTGGTGTCTCAGTCTCTTTCCTAGTGCCGCTTTGAAGTTCCTACCGTTTACAGTGCAAAACCCAGTTGGAGCTTGTACTTCCCCTTATATTTGCATGTAGTGTATTATCCAAATATAAGTAACTTTGTGTTCCAAACAAGGAAAGTGAAAGAGAGCTTTCACACACTCATATCTCCCAGAACTTAGCATGTGGAGAGACGTTCATTCATCTAATACAAAGGGAATGGGTTGCAGGAGAAATACTTTCTCTGTTTTCTCAGTTTGTTTCCTAGTGCCGGTTTGAGTTTCCTGCAATTCTCCGTGTAAATCCGAGTTGGAGCTTATACCTCCCATTATATATTTATGAAGTGTAATTCCCAATTGAAAACAAACATTGTGTTCAGGACAAGCAAGTTGAAGCACGGCTTTCACACACAATTATCCCTCAGGACTGAGCATGTGGAGAGACGTAAGTTCATCTAACTCTAAGGAAATGGGTTGCATGGAAACACTAATTCTGGTTTCTCAGTCTGATTCCTGCTGCCAGTTTGAAGTTTCTGCAGTTTTCACTGTAAAACCGATTAGGACGTAGTACATCCCCATAAATATGTATGTACTTTAGATTCCAAATATAAGAAATTTTGTGTTCCTAACAATATAAGTGAAGGACCTAATTCACAAATATTTAACTCTCAGAACTGAGCATGTGGGGAGACGTAAGTTCATCATTCACAAAGGAAAACTTTTGCAGGAGTCACACTTACTTTGGTCAGTTACAAAATGCCTGTTTGAAATTCCTACAGTAGTCACTGTAAATCCGAGTTGAAGCTTATACCTCCATGTAGGTATTTATGCAGTGTAGATTACTACTGTATAGAAACTTTGTGTTCCCAACAGGCTAGGTGATGGATGGCTTACACACACACACTTATCTCTTTGTACGGTGTGTGTGGAGAGACGTTCATTCATCTAGCACAATGTGAACATGTTGAAGGACAAACACTTTCTCTGATTTCTCAGGCTGTTGCTTAGTGTCGTTGTGAAGTTCCTGCAATTTTCACTGTACAACCGATTTGGAGTTAGTACAACACCATGTATATGTATGTAGTGTAGGTACCAGCTAAAAAGAAACATTGTGATCCTAACAAGCTAGGTGAATATTGGCTTTTAGTCACAGTTATCTCTCAGAACAGAGTATGCTGAGAGATGTTCGTTCATCGTCCAAAAATGAATCAGGTAACAGGGGAAACACTTACATTGGTTTCTCAGACATTTTCCTAGTGCCAGTTTGAAGTTCCTGCTGTTTCCACAGCAAAACCAAGTTGGAGCTTGTACCTCCCTTTATATATATTTATAGTATGGTTTCCAACTGAAAAGAATGTTTGTGTTCCCAACAAGCTAGGTGAAGGACGGCTTTCACACACACTTATCTCCCAGAAATGAGCATGTGGACTGACGTTCGTTAATCTAGCACAAAGGGAAAGGGTTACAGGGAAACACTTACTCTGGTTTTTCTGTCTGTTTCCTCATGCCTGTTTGACATTCCTGCAGTTACAGTGTAAAACCGAGTTGGTGCTGGTACCACCCTATGTGTATGTATGCAGTGCAGATTGCCACTGTATAGGAGCTTTGTGTTCCGAACAAGCTAGGTGAAGGAAGGCTTTCACACACACTTATCTTTCAGTGCTGAGCATGTGGAGAGACGTTTGTTCATCTTGCATTAAGGGAATGAGTTGCAGGTGAAAGCCATGCTCTACTTTCTCCGTGTGTTTCTTAGTGTCGTTTTAAAATTCTTGCATTTTTCACTGTGAAAACGAGTTGGAGCTAATACCTACCATTACATATGTATATAGTCTAGTTTCCAACTGAAAAGAATCTTTGTGTTCCCAACAAGCTAGGCGAATGACAGCTTTCACACACTATTATCTCTCAGAACTGAGCATGTGTAGAGACTTTCGTTTTTCTAGCCCAAAGGGAATGGGTTGCAGGGGAAAGACTTATTCTGGTTTCATAGTCTATTTCCTTGTGCAGGTTTGAAGTTCCTACAGTTTCACTGCAAAACCGAGTTGGAGCTAGATCCTCCCCATATATATATATGTAGTGTAGATTCAAAATGAAAAGAAACTTTGTGATCCAAACAACACATTTGAAGGACAGCTTTCACCCACATTAATCTCCCAGAACTGAGCATGTTAAGAACCGTTCGTTCATCTAGCACACAGGGAACGGGTGGGAGGTGAAACTCTAACTCTTGTTTCTCAGTTTGTTTCCTAGTTCCGGTTTTAATTTACTGCAGTTTTCACTGTAAAACCAATTTGGAGCTAGTACTTCCCCTTATATATGTATGTAGTGTAGTTTCAAACTCAAAAGAATCTTTGTGTTCCAAACAACGTATGTGAAGCACGGCATTCACACACACTTATCTCTGAGAACTGAGCATGTGGAGAGATTTTCATTCATCTAGCACAAAGGAAATGGTTTGCAGGAGAAACACTTACTGTGGTTTCTCTGTCTGATTCCCACTGCCGGTTTGAAGTTCCTGCTGTTTTCACTGTAAAAGAGACTAGGAGGGAGTACCCACCCATATATATCTATGTAGTGCAGTTTTCAACAGAAAAGAATCTTTGTGTTCCCAACAAGCCAGTTGAAGTATTTTTTTCACTCACATTTATCTCTCTGAACTGAGCATGTGGAGAGACGAAAGTTCATCAAGCACAAAGGGAAACTGTTGCAGGAGAAACACTTACTATGGTTTCTCAGATGTGTTCTAGTGCCGGATTGATGTTCCTGCAGTTTTCACTGTAAAACTGAGTTGGAGCTAGTACCTCCCTATATATATGTATGTAGTGTGGTTTACAACTGAAATGATACTTTGTGTTCCCAACAAGTTAGGTGAAGTATAGTTTTCACACACATATATATTCCAGAACTGAGCATGTGGAGAGACATTCGTTTACATAGCACAAAGGGAAAGGGTTGCAGGAGAAACACTTACTCTGGTTTCTCTTTCTTTTTCCTTGTGCTGGTTTGAAGTTCCAGCAGATTTCACTGAAAATCAGAGTTGGATCTTGTACCTTCCCTTATATATCTATCTAGTGTAGTTAAAAACTGAAAAGAAACTGTGTGTTCCCAACAAGCTATGTGAAGGACGGGTTTCACACACACTTATCTCTCAGAACTGAGCATGTGGAGTGACGTTTGTTCATCTAACACAAATGGAACGGGCTGCAGGAGAAACACATACTCTTTTTTCTCAGTCTGTCTCCTAGTGCCGTTTTGAAATTCCTACAGATTTCACTGTACAACTGAATTGGAGATTGTACATTCCAATACATATGTATGTAGTGTAGAATCCAACTGAAAAGAATGTTTGTGTTCCAAACAAGCCAGGTGAAGTATGGTTTTCACACACATTTATCTCTCAGATCTGAGCATGTGCAGAGAAGTTCATTCATCTAGCACAAAGGGAACTGTTTGCAGGAGAAACACTTACTCTGGTTTCTCAGTCTGTTTCCTAGTACTGGTTGAATTTCCCGCAGTTTTCAATACAAAATTGAGTTGGAGCTAATACCTTCCCTTATATTCAAATGTATCGAAGTATCCAACTGAAATAAATTTTGTGCTCCGAACAAGGTAGGTGAAGGACGACTTTCACATACATTTATCTCCCAGAACTGAGCATGTGGAGAGACGTTCGTTCATCTAGCACAAAGGGATCGAGTTGAAGCAGAAACACTTACTCTGGTTTCTCAGTCTGATTTCTAGTGCCGGCTTGAATTTTCCAGTTTTTACTGTACAACTAGTTTGAGGTAGTATCTCCGAATAAATATGTATGTAGTGTAGTTTCCAAATGAAAAGAAACTTTGTGTTCCCAACAAGAAAGGTGAAGGGAGGCTTTCACTTACACATATTTCTCAGAACTGATCATGTGGAGATA